TTAAGTATGAATTATTAAATATATTTCTAAAACTCTTATAATCATTATTAATAATATTAATTTGTCGTTTTATACATTTTTTAAAAGCAAATTTGAAATTTTAAAGGACATAAAACATTTTATTTAAACCACCAGCAGCTTATGTGATGTCTTCTCTTATTTTACCATTTTTTCGTATATAAATTCCTTTTAAATTAATTTATGTGCATTTAATTAATTAAAAATTTAATGTTTGTTCCAGCACTATTCATAATGCTACGGTCAGAATTTGATCACTTCATTACACACCCTCTTCTGTTAGTATCTATCACAGATATTTCAACTTTTGAATAAACATAGCATTTTTGTTGACTGATTACATATAAAATTATTTGCTGAGCTCCGTATAAATATATAAACTTGCCAGTTTAAAGGTGAAAAAAAATTTTTTCCAACTTTATTTTGTATTTAAATAATCAGTATATACGCATAAATAGAGTTTTTGATAGGTTGGGCCATATTTAATTACATCCTTTTCATTTATACTGATTTTTATAAGTTCTGAAAAAATTAAAAAGTAAAAAAAAATATAAAAAAAAATAAACACTGAGGGGGTGTGGCATTTAAAGGGGTGTCAAAATTTTAAAAACCTTTTTATAGCATTTATTATCGTCAGATCATTTCAAAATTCCTCTTCAGTGTAGTAAGCGTATTAAGGTACTTTTTCAGCAAAAAATTGAAAAATCGGTATTTTCATTGATTTTGGGGGTACCGAGTCCCCTTAAGACGACACTAGCTCTCTAGCCACCTGCGCTTGCGATTGCTCTGCCTTGATTCTACCAACAATTCTGTATAACATTTCATCATCCATTTGCCCGTGACTACCTGAAACCTTATAAAATTTATCCAACATTTGAGAGAAACACGGCGAATGTCGTAAAGTAAGAACCCACAAATTGCTGAAAACCCCTCGTGCGTTTATATCTCTTTCGGATTCAAAGCTCATCAGATGCTAAGTGCGCTGCACGCTTACGTATTCCACTCTTTATATTTGCATAATTCCGCGGCGGCATAATTAGTACCTTTGGTTCAATAGTTTTGGAAGAATGGACATAATTGGCAAATTATTTTAATTTTGTGCACGAGTGTGTATACCAATAGCAGACAGAAATGAAAGCAAGGTTATTATATTAAAACTACACCTTAGCTTGATATAATTGTTATGTTAACTACAACTGTTTTTGATGTCATCAAAAAGGGGTTAAAGGGTGTCTTCTCATGTAGCTAGCCAGTTACGTTTTGCTGCATTAGCTTAACATGTAGCTGAATAATTTTTTATTTGATTTGAAACGGTAAAAAAAATAACATTGAATCAATGTCTCTGAAAGCCAGTCATCTTGAACTTCTTGTCGGATTTCTGTCATTATCTCATTATATAAAAATACATAACTTTTTTTTGAATACAATTAGTTTTAATTTATTAAATGTACTATACAGGATTCTGAACTCTCTTCCTAGCAGATGATAGAATATATCAATTAAAATTATTATTCAAATGTTGATTATAACCTATGTCGGTTAGACATACGAACGCGAAACACAGTAGGAAGCGTTCTCTATAAAAGCGTTGTCCCAGAACTAGTTTGAACGGCAGATTTCTATCTGCAGTTGGCCACGATGACAGAAAATAAGCTTCGTTCAACGCTGTGTTTTGCGTAAGTCAATTAAACAGAACGAAGGAAGGAATTAGGGGTCTCATATACCTAACTTAATTACCTAAAATTCCTTTAAAAAATTTGAAAATATTCAGTTATTAACGTCGTACCAAAGGAATTGTTAAGGTTTTTAATGCTGTCTCTGAGCATTGCAGGTACCAGCCTGCTCCTAGACTCACTAAAGATCTAATCTTCTTTGCTATCATACAGTTAGTGTGATCTTATTGGGAAACTTGGCGACTTCTTGCAGAGGCATGAATAATACAGAAGAAGGGTAAAACAAACACTTAATTATTCAAACTTTTAATAAAAATGCACGTACATCACGCTCACAATAACATCGACTACTTGCGGTGGGAACTTCAAAATAATTTAACAATAAATTTAAAATGGTAAAGAGTGGTGTTACACTACTTAAGATTGGGAACCCATTCAATCATGCTGCTGGGCACTCAAGGTAGCATCCAGCACGTTCATCATTCTGCACACTGTCCCTTCCCCATGAAAAGCGCTTATACCACGTGCATGAGGCAAAGTTTCATCTGCATAAGCCTCGGTTAACATTCGAAATATTATGGCTCCATGGCTGATTTCTTAAGTTTCCCAGACTTGATGTTGATTCGCTGTTCAGTTTTTACATTATATATTTTTCCTGCAGAATGCAGTTGCACGTGTTCGCTCATTGACGCAGTACTTCCCCCCTAGCGTGGTCGGTGAAGTCGAAACTGGCCGAATGGATAGAGGGGATTATTATTTTAATTAATGGCAAAGCACACGAGGGCTATCTGCCTAACGGGGAGGGATGCCTTCGTGGAGGTCTTTCTAAGGGGAAATGGCTCGCATGCACGTTACACATGGGGAAAACCTCTAAAACGCCCTTGCAGCCAGCCCGTTCGCGGGATTCGAACCTCCGAATGGATAGAGGAGGTGTTTGGCACGACGTCACCAAAACAGTTGTTGCCGACTCCACTCTATTTTCAAGCTACACACTTAGTCTCTTTTTTTTTTTTTTTTCTTTTTGTGTCACACCTCGTATAACGTTTTTTGTACTTACGCCACAAAAATTCACAAAATATTTATAAGTGTATTTTTAGTTCCATCTGCATAAGCCTCGGAATATAAGTGTATTTTTAGAATTTCCTGACTGAGTGTTAAGGGTTGACATTTTTTATATAATATAAAAATATGTAACAATCTATAATTTCTTTAAATTCTAGCCACTGGCCCAGCCACCTGCCAAAAATTATAAAAAAAGAAAAAAAAGTATGTTAAGTCCAGCTACTGTAATTAAAAAAAAATTCAACATTTATGATGAGATATCTCACGATTTTAAAATATTTTCATTTAAATCAATCAAATTAAATAGTAGAAAAATATTTTTGAGAACTTTATTTATTGCTTTTAAATCACAATATTTATAGTATATTATCCAGAAACTTTCCAATCTTAGGCGTTATCGAATGGCAACGCGCTGGCACGTGGAAGGTAAAAGTATGTTATTTCGAGTAGTGGAAACACACTGCTTTAAAATAACCGAGATTGTTAATTAAAATTGAAAGATAAAAATCGTACATTTTTCCGAATGGCAGCCGTCTTGCTGGATGCTAAATGTTTTACTTCAAACAATGTTGTGACCGCTGACTCGCAAATTGGCCAGTTTGTTAAAAACAAATTCATTAAATTTGTACAAAATATGAAATAAATAAAAGGTAAATTCAAAATTCAAAATTCGGGGGGAGGACTACGTTATTCAAAATTTGGTAGCTCTAGGTACCGTCTTTTTTCACAATGGAGGAACATCTATACATGAATATAGATTCTTCTTTATTTAATTTAGTTCGAAATAATACATGGTTATACCAACAGGTTGCAATAATTTGGAAAGTAATTCGGATACAAAAGTGATACGGACAAAAATTATTTTTGAGAATAATAATACTTCTGGTATATATTCCTTGAATAATTCCATTCGACAATGTGTTGAGGTAAGTTTTTTTTCCAGTTTGATGGTTAATTTAATATTTGCATTTAACGCTTACTCAGATGGTGATTTACTGTCTTGCAAAATCTTATACCGTTTCAATCAACTATATTAGGGAAAAATCCCTAAAACTGCTTTTTAGTGAAACAGCTTCTTCATATAAAACATATAGTGGCCGCATTTTCTTCCACATGACTAATACGTTGAGCAAAATTTGATTGCTTCTGAATAATATTAGAAATTATTAATTAATTGATAAAATTTTTGTAATAGTAAGCTTATCTATTAAATTTATGATTTCAGTTAGAATACCTTTGCTAAAGAAGTGAAAGGAAGAAAGCGTTTTGGAAATCTTTCTCTATGCATCTACGAAATGGAGTAAACATTTGAACACTGCTCAATTAGTTTTTCAGCGGTGTGATCGCCTTGCTGTACTGTATAACACAGTCATTAGCTTTTCATTAAATTATAGCAAACTTGTTCGTGCTAGTTTCGCAAACTGGGCCGACAAAGCTTTTGCGCGAAAAAAATCTCAATTCATTTGGGGCGGAAGAAAGAAAGAAGAGAGGTAGTCGTTTTCACCGAGATGCGTCGGCATATTTCATGTTTTGGTAATATCTTTCTGCGGTTTCTCGTTTTCTAAAAAAAAAAAAAAAAAACATGCATGGCATATAGACGCGCGCAGACACACATACGAAAAAAGAAAAAAGTCAGAACTTTCTCGGTAAATAATGAAGATAGAATATCAGGGTTTACATGGAAGACGAAAACTTGGAAATATGCCTTTTCTCGCTAGAAGAGGGAATCGGATTTTATCTTTCTGCTAGAGGTCTAAGGTCATTGGGTGGACTTTTATTTATGTCAGGAATAGTGAATTTACTGTACAGAGGTTTTTAAGATAGATTTAAAAATATATTAAAAAAAGTGCCATTTGTTTTTAAAGGCTATAGCGATGCGATGATATGATATAACTACGCCATATTTATTAATACAGTTAAGTGATATGACATAGATATAAATGAATGATGTATTTCTGTTTTTCTAATTTGCCTGTTTTATGAAAGTTTTAAATTAAAGTAGCTGGTGCATAGTTTGCATTGTGTATCTTTTCTTTTTAATATCTTTAATTTTTTAAATCAAAGAAATTTTTCAAAAATTATTTCAGCTTAGCAACTGGATTCTTCCTTTGTGCGTTTCCATAAATGATATTCAAACTAAACATTGCAGTAAAATGTCTGAAAATAATAGGAAAATAAGGGCAGTATAAATATGAATCAGTATAAATTACCATATTTCTTTTAATTGTGTTTCTTTATTTGCAACAGATGACATGGCGACCATATGCAAGACACATCCTAATTTCAAAATCCGGATGCATCACAGTGGAACAGGTTCCACAGGCATTTTGAAAGCCACCGATTTATTATCAGAAGATGAAGAGAAGGAATGTGTTGCAAAAATCAAGCCTCCTAGAGGATATGGGGTGATTTTCAATCTCGAAGACGTCCGACTGAGGAAGGATGCTAATTATGACTGCAGAGATTACATCAAGGTGAGAATTCTTTTTCACTCTTTGTGTCTGGTGAAAAAGACTTTAAGAAAATAATTATTTTAAATTACAGCAAAACTGTTATCGCTCGGAAAACATTTTTGAATAACTACTATAACTAAAGTTTATACTAACCTTCTAGCTTGCTTTGTATACTTTCGAATGTTGGAGTTCGAAAATAGGATGGAGATGCTGGAGAGGCTTGTCATATACATATATATAGAGAGAGCGTAATTGTGTATTCCATAACATTTTGTTTTCTCGAAGATTGCAACTTCCTGAAATAGTAATTAATGTATTTCTTGAGATCCAAATTCTTCTTTAGGAGATTCTCCAGATTCTGTAAGATTTATTAGTTCAAAAGGACCTATTTTAATGCGAAAGAAATAAAAAATGACAAAAGTAAAATAACTCACTCAAAAAGGATATAGAATGCATTTGGGCTATTTTATACTTCTTTTATTTGATCCTTAGATTACATTGATGGATGGACATCGATTAATTACGTCGCCAAGAAGGATGCGTTTGGTGACCGAAAATTAGCTTGTTGCGTAGATTGTAGGAATGCATCTAAATGACTAGCAGTGTTGCACATACGTAAATCATGAATGTTAATCAAGCAACAAAAGAGGAGAGAGCAGAAATCTTCTGTTAAATATTCAAATTACGTTTACTTACCATCCTTACACATAAAGCTATGGTCTATTGAATAATATGACTGGCATACTAGTAGGCATCTATCATCATGGAAAAAGGCAGAAATATAGTCTGAGAGTTAATTTTCGGAGAAATTGGTGCATGTATTAAATGGAAGGTGATCACATACTGAGAATGAAGAATTAATGCGACAAAGAAAAACGAATTCAATGATGAATGGTTGTCTAAATGAAAGGACAGACATCTTGTGGATATAGTTTTTATAAATCATAAATTCATATAATAAGCTCTAGCTTAAGAATTAGCGTAGTGTGCACAATTCTCTGCTAATTAATGCAAAAGACATAAAAAAGAAGTTTAATTACCTGCCTATTACAATGTTAACAAATTATGTAGTAGAAGAAGCTTATGTCTGCGATGGCTTACAAGTAATCTTACAGAATATCGTTTAACTTTATGGAAGACATTAAGGAATATCTGTAGGAAAAGAGATACTATAAATGTCGGAAAGTGCACACTTTAAGGAAAAGAGGCTCTAACACACTAAAAGCTAAACTAAATTTATTTACTGCAATAAAAAAGATTAAAAAGAACTTTGAATGGAGACTAAAATGTCTTTTCATTCACTATCATCAGTATCTTTTATAACACTGTACGTATACGCATTTAAAATGGTGCAACACTAGTTGCAATTGCAGTTACAGTTACAATTGGCCTTTTCCTATATAGCTAACGTTTAAATTGATGAAATATCTTCTATTTTAAATGCCCTATTTTATTAAATTCATCTGTTTCATGACAGTTTCAATGAAAAGAATTTCAATCAGTTATCTGCAAATAAAGCTAAAGTACAGTAGAGCTGTATCTAACGCGCTGGGGACTAGGTGATTCTGGTAATTGTAATCCCGAGCTGTAAGCACGTAATCTTTCCTATTCAGACCAATTAAGTGCTTACGACTATAAAAATTAAAATGTTTCCTTTTTTTATTTAGACAAGTGCTATATTGTTAAAAGTAGTACATTTTTTGTTTTTTTACTTCCTTGAAGTGAAATGCAAACACGAAGCTACAAAAATGAATTATGAAATTACACTTTTTTTATTTGTCTGAGCACGTAATCCATTTTTATTTAAAGTAAGCAATGAGGCTTAATTTTTTCTTGCATAATCTTTAAAATTATCTTCGCGTGGACAAAGATTAAATATAATGCCACCATGATGATGTTTAGTTTGTTTTTAGAAAAGAAATATCTGAGATGGGTAAACACTGACTCAACGAGTAAATAAAGAGTAGTACAGTGCCTAATTAATTTCTTATTATTGTTTAAAAAGCTACGTATTTAACAAATCGTATGTAATGACATATTATTAATGTATAAGGATGATTTATTGAATTATGTGTAATGAATGCGTATGACAAACATGTTTGTCTACAATAAAATAAAATAATTGTAAGCCAGTAATCGTTCAATGATAATTATCTAAATTTGGAAGTTTCTTAAAATACTGTAGATAGCATAAATTTTTATCTTTTTCTATTACTATTGAAATCAACAAAATGTTCAATAGATTAACAGGAAGCTTATCTTAAAACTTCCTCAAAATAATGGAATCCTAACAACTGGACAAACTATTTTAGTTTATTTAGTTATTTATTATTATTTAGTTATTTATTATTATTTATTTATTTATTATTATTTATTGATTTATTATTATTTATTTATTTTTATTGTTTATTGTTATTTTATTAATTTTTAAAAAATTTAATAAAAAAATTGTTTAAGTTTATATTATTTTTTTACTAGATTAATTTGTTTCCAATAAAACAGTTATTTTTTCGACACTTAATGAAAATAAAATGTTATTATTTTTTATTTCAGTCCCGTGTTTTGTTAAATGAATTCCTGGGATGGTCTTTAATAGCTGTAAAGCAGTATTTAATTTTTATTTTCTAACTTCATTTCTCCAAGAACTTATTACTTTCTGGCATCAGAGCGTCACAGTAGAGACCCAGAAAGCATTAGTTTTTCCTAAATTACATATATCTCCATAAATTAAAAACTGAGTTCTAAGAATGAGAAATATTCTAATTAATTAGAAAATTCTGATTTCGAAAATGTTGTTTACTTTCGACAAAATAATAAATTTATAAGGTATTTCTCCCGCTTTCTTAGCATGCCTTCGCGGTGTAATGATCCGCACGCTCGGCGCGTATTCGAGAGGTCCGTGATTCGAGTCCCGGCGAGGTCATTGCTCACTTTTCGTGTCTCTTGCTTCATAAAAAATGTCCTAATGACACTACAGTGGCTCCCGAACTTAACGAATTCCTATGATAAAATTATGCTAATTTTAGAAAAAAAAATAGTCGTTTTACAATTCTCGTACCTTATTTTTTAAAACTGCAGCTCAAGAGCAATTTTCTAATTTATTTCAACTCACTATGAGTCATTGTAATGTCTTGTAAAGCTAAGATATTATTGTTTATACAATTATTGCAGTATTTTAGAATTTTGCCTTCTGTGTATGAAGTTTGAAAAAAGAGAAAAGTAAACTAATTTCAAACTTTTTAATTTCATTTATTATATATATATTTTCTAAATAACATAGTAATAGAGAAAATATATATATAGGCAAAGTTTAATCTTGCAATAATTTTAATTAATTATTTACCTTATTATGCTTCTCCCTTCTTAACATGCCTTCGTGGTGTAGTGGTCATCACACTCGGCGCGTATTCGAGAGGTCCGTGGTTCGAGTCCCAGAGGGGGCATTGCTCATTTTTCACATCTTCTGCTTCGAAATACCCTAATGTCTCTACAAACTACAACAGATCACTTACTGTAATCAAAAGTGTCTTCTCTGCATTTTGTCATTATGAATTTCAAATTTATAATTCTGTCATCGATATTTACAAAAGTGTCTTCCAAATTCATAGCGTTTTTCAATCCTAAAATATTATCGAAAATCCAGTATTATTTTTCTTTTGATAAAAAATATGGAGATACATACCCCGAAGACCTGTTAAAAGTTATGTTCCCTCAGCAGCTTCTCTATCTTTATAAATGTGTATTTATTTCCTTAACTTATATTATATTAACTTTGCAATATTAAGATTTTTTTCTCTACCGGTACTATAAATATACGTAGTATTTACTAAGTTTTGCAGCAATAAATAACATCAGCTTTGCCACTTTTTTACATTTCTCTTTATAAAGTTTTATGAAGTCAGAAGAAGGTAACTTTTAAAATT